CTGTGCTGTTCATCACTGTACACTGACACACCAGAGACCACTGTGCTGTTCATCACTATACACTGACACACCAGAGACCACTGTGCTGTTCATCACTGTGCACTGACACACCAGAGACCACTGTGATGTTCACCACTGTACACTGACACACCAGAGACTGCTGTGCTCTTCATCACTGTACACTGACACACCAGAGACCATTGTGATGTTTCATTGGTGTGCACAGCGACACCAGAGACCAATGTGCTCTTTCCATCAGCATGCAGGGACCAGAGAGGGTTTGAAGGTAACATAAACATATCTGGCCACTATGGGAATCACAAGCACAGTCTATGTTAGATGTGGGATGGAGACACTTGAAAGTGTTCATTTGAAAGGAAGAGACACATGCAGAACTGAGAACTACAGGGAGACTCTGTTGTAGTTTTCTGCAAAGCAACTATGGATCATGCGCTGTTATTTCTTCTTCTGCAAAGTCTCATGATGAAGCGTGCTACCTTAGGTTTTGACTCTCTGGCCTTCAAGAAATGGCCTGGGGCTTGGGCTCTGGTGGGTTACATCATTTTAGAGCATCACCATTACCTCCTAAATGCCACCAGCTCTTCCTAACACGGGGAAGGGCTCACAAGGACTTGCCAAGCTGGTGCAAGCCTCTGGGTGAGTGCACTTGAGAGTATTTGCTGCCGCAAACACTTCACAGTACCCAGGGGCTTTGTGCCAGCCGGATCAACCCATCACATCACAACACAGCAGGCCTGTGCCAGGCGGGAGGTACTCACCAGGGTGCCGATGCGTATCCAGACGACCTGACTTTAGTGTGGAAAACCAGGGGCTGGTCCTGCACAACTCTCTGCTTTGCTGCATGAAATTAACATTACGAGGAAACGGAAAAAACAGATTCACTAAAATGAAGCTCCATATCAAAGTCAAACAAACCAATACAAGCCAAAGAAGATGAGACCAAGAGGAGCAAGGCACAAGGAAGCAACATAAATGCTCATGTCCTTCTTCCTGTGAATTGCATGTATTCCATGCATGCCAAAAGCTCCCTGTACCATGCTGGCCACAGAACACAGCTGCAGGAACAAAGGGCGTGGACACAGTTCAGTCTGTCCTGGGAAAGCTAAGGTCTGCTAATCAGGGCTGAGCACCATGTCTCCATGAACACGAGACTGAGGACAGTCACTCTGTGAACAGAGATGTCCACCACACACGGTGGTGTCTCCATGAACACGAGACTGAGGACGGTCACTCTGTGAACACGGACGTCTACCACACACGGTGTCTCCATGAACACGAGACTGAGGACAGTCACTCTGTGAACACGGACGTCTACCACACACGGTGTCTCCATGACCATGAGACTGAGGACAGTCACTCTGTGAACACGGACGTCCACCACACACGGTGTCTCCATGAACACGAGACTGAGGACAGTCACTCTGTGAACATGGACGTCCACCACACACGGTGTCTCCATGAACACGAGACTGAGGACAGTCACTCTGTGAACATGGATGTCTACCACACACGGTGTCTCCATGACCATGAGACTGAGGACGGTCACTCTGTGAACACGGATGTCTACCACACACGGTGTCTCCATGAACACGAGACTGAGGACGGTCACTCTGTGAACACGGACGTCTACCACACACGGTGTCTCCATGAACACAAGACTGACGACAGTCACTCTGTGAACACGGACGTCTACCACACACAGTATCTCCATGAACACAAGACTGACGACAGTCACTCTGTGAACACGGACGTCTACCACACACAGTGTCTCCATGAACACGAGACTGAGCACAGTCACTCCGTGAACATGGACGTCCACCACACACGGTGTCTCCATGACCACACGAGACAGAACAGTCACTCTGTGAACATGGACGTCCACCACACACGGTGTCCCACACGGTGTCTCCATGACCATGAGACTGAGGACAGTCACTCTGTGAACAGAGACGTCCACCACACACGGTGTCTCCATGACCACACGAGACTGAGGACAGTCACTCTCTCTGTGAACATGGACGTCTACCACACACGGTGTCTCCATGACCATGAGACTGAGGACGGTCACTCTGTGAACATGGACGTCCACCACACACGGTGTCTCCATGACCACACGAGACTGAGGACAGTCACTCTGTGAACATGGACGTCTACCACACACGGTGTCTCCATGACCAGGAGACTGAGGATGGTCACTCTGTGAACATGGACGTCCACCACACACGGTGTCTCCATGAACACGAGACTGAGGACATTCACTCCGTGAACATGGACGTCCACCACACACGGTGTCTCCATGACCACACGAGACAGAACAGTCACTCTGTAAACATGGACGTCCACCACACACGGTCTCCCCATGACCACATGAGACTGAGGACGGTCACTTTGTGAACAGAGACATCCACCACACATGGTGTCTCCATGAACACACAAGACAGAACAGTCACTCTGTGAACATAGACGTCCACCACACACGGTGTCTCCATGACCATGAGACTGAGGACAGTCACTCTGTGAACATGGACGTCCACCACACACGGTGTCCCCATGACCACACGAGACTGAGGACGGTCACTCTGTGAACACGGACGTCCACCACACACGGTGTCTCCATGACCATGAGACTGAGGACGGTCACTCTGTGAACAGAGACGTCCACCACACACGGTGTCTCCATGAACACGAGACTGAGGACGGTCACTCTGTGAACACGGACGTCCACCACACACGGTGTCTCCATGACCACACGAGACTAAGGACAGTCACTCTGTGAACACGGACGTCCACCACACACGGGGTCTCCATGACCACACGAGACTGAGGACAGTCACTCTGTGAACATGGACGTCCACCACACACGGTGTCCCCATGACCACACGAGACTGAGGACAGTCACTCTGTGAACACGGATCCACCACACACGGTGTCTCCATGACCACACGAGACTGAGGACAGTCACTCTGTGAACACGGATGTCTACCACACACGGTGTCTCCATGAACACGAGACTGAGGACAGTCACTCTGTGAACATGGACATCCACCACACACGGTGTCCCCATGACCACACGAGACTGAGGACAGTCACTCTGTGAACACGGACGTCTACCACACACGGTGTCTCCATGACCATGAGACTGAAGACGGTCACTCTGTGAACACGGACGTCCACCACACATGGTGTCTCCATGACCATGAGACTGAGGACGGTCACTCTGTGAAAACGGATGTCTACCACACACGGTGTCTCCATGAACACAAGACTGACGACAGTCACTCTGTGAACACGGAGGTCCACCACACACGGTGTCTCCATGACCATGAGACTGAGGACGGTCACTCTGTGAACACAGACGTCTACCACACACGGTGTCCCCATGACCACATGAGACTGAGGACGGTCACATTGTGAACATGGACGTCCACCACACATGGTGTCTCCATGAACACACAAGACAGAACAGTCACTCTGTGAACACGGACGTCCACCACACACGGTGTCTCCATGACCATGAGACTGAGGACAGTCACTCTGTGAACA